ACGCCTGCAGCCCAGCCGGCCAGTCGACCGGCGGCGGGCGGTGCAGATGCCCGTCGGCCGACCGACGGGCGGTGTAGCAGATACCCGTCGGCCGACCAGCGGCGGGCGGTGTAGCAGCTATACGCCGATCGACCAGCGGCGGGTGGTGTAGCAACTCAGATGCCCGCAGGGCGGTGTAGCAGCTATACGCCGATCGACCGGCGGCGGGCGATGAAGCATATCAGATGCCCGCCGGGCGGTGTAGCAGATCAGATGCCCGCAGGGCGGTGTAGCAGATACCCGCCGCCGCGGCGCGGACGGCGCGGCGGTGTGCGCGGCCTGACTGCTGCCGGCGGTGGTGTTGCACCGCGTGCTGTTTGTTGCAGTCCGTTCAGCCATTACCCAGCGGGCAGCGCCCCGACGCGAACGTCCGTGACGGGACTGTCGTAATGGCCGGCTGCAGCCGGGCGTGTAGTACGGCGCCGCTCAAGGGAGGCAACAGGCAGTGTTTTCTGAGTTCGGTCACTGGTTAAGCAGAGCCGAATGGAGGGGGTTTCACCGCAAGCGCAATTGACGATGGTTTCTTACGCTGGCTCACAACCGTGCTTGGGTTGTAGTCTGTAATGTCGTTGCGTGGTTTGCGGTGTGGTTTTCGTTGAAGGATTCCTTCCTCCCAGTCATCGTTTCGCGATGCCCACGTCCCACAGGTAAAACCGTTGTGGATTTTCCGTCAGTAATCACACACGATGTTCAAAGGCCATCCCACATGTCAGCTGATAAATTTTATGGTCGTGCTTGAAAATCACGTACTTCTCCATGCATACCCTCGTTTACAAGTGACCAATATCTTAAGGCGTGGGCCGGTTGGCGGTGTGCGTCGATTGGCTTATTGAATTAGGGGGGCGGGGAAAGCAAAGCGAGAACATTCTCGTCCCCTTATCAAGTTTTCACGAGCATTGATATTCATGTGATTAAATGTCGACAGCAAACAGAAAAGATTTGCACTCATAAGTGGCACGAACAGGCGATGATGTTATGTTCCATGAAAGAAATTTCGGACACCGCTGCGCGCCATATGTTTTCGAGTGAAAAAGTTGAGACGTCTCCCGGTGTCATTAAGAAATCCTGTGCACACCCCGGCGTTTAATTGCTACTGCAGATAACGTGTCGCAGCGTCTGTGGCAAATTCATGTTGACCTAAATGGTCTTGCTGCTTTCGAAGGTGCTGATTTCCATAAACATTTGCACCTGTCCACGATGAGGGTACATCGCCCAGCCAGCCCGGTCCGCTCCGCTCTCCAGCTGGTCAGGTTACGACGCGACCTTGTTGCTGAGCAGGCCGACCTCCGCCGTACATTCCTGACCCCTGGCGACCCCGACCGGCGTCCTCTGAGTGACGTCACACGGCCGGCCCCTGACGTCACGGCGTTGCACGGCGGCGTCGCCCGTGCCCGTGGGAGCGGAACCGACGCCGTGGCCGCGCGCCGCCGTGAGGGCGGACACGCGAGGCTGTGCGGCGGCGACGGCGGCGGCGCGGGCGGGGTAACGGTGAGCGGCCGCGGCGTGCTGGCTGTGCACGCCGTGGCCGCCGCCCCGCCGCACCACCGCCCAGCCGGAAGTTGCCGGCTTCCGGTCGCGGGTTGCCCCGGTGCGTAGTGCCGGGCCGGAACGCACAATCCGGCAGTGTGAGTGTCGCGCGGCGGCGCCGGCGCACCGCACGCGGCGGCGCGGCGTACGTGGCGCGCTCGGCCGTGGGGCGTCCCCGCAAGGTCGACCCTGCTGAGTCACGGTCCTTCGCGTCCGGACGTGCCGGCGGAGGACGCGGCACGCCGGACCGGACGTGCGGCGGGGCGCCCCCTGCAGCCGTCAGCGCCACACGATCCAACTCGGATGCGTGGAGGGAAGGATTGATCCTGGTCTGAACTTGCGGGCTCAGTGTAATGGGACACACTATGCTGTGCCATGTGAGCATTGGTCTCCTCCGAGGCTGTCATGATCCAGCAACAGCTCAGCGATATCCGCGGGTCGGTTCTGTCTCACCGCGCCGGTTTTGCGCTACGCGTTCCTTCTTCCAACTCGTTCATTAATCACGAGCGTCGCCCAGTTTCTCGTCTCATGGACACGCCATTATCGGCAGCCCAACTCTCTGCGGGCGTCTGGCTGCCAGAGTGAGGCCGACCGCCGGGCGGCGGCGTTACCCTGAGAACTGGGCCGGCCCGTTCACGGGCGGCGATCGGCGCGGCCGCGGCGAAACTGGCGCGGCCGCGCCGGTAATGGCGCGCCGGCGGCGGCCGCGCCGCGGGCGAGCTGGCCCAGTTTGGAGCCGGTGCGGCGCGCTCGCGACAGGCGCGACACAAAAAGCTGGCCCGCGAGTGCGTTGACGTGCCGTGCCGTGCCGTGCCATGCCGTGCCGGACGGGCGACAGACGGCGGCCGCGGAGCAGGCGGCGCCGGCCCGGTCTGGGCCGGCGACGGACACGCTCCAGTGGAGCGCCGGCGACGGCCGGAGGCACGACTCGTGCGCCTGCGCTCATGTTAAGCTGCCATGTACTGCACTTCAGACTGGCTCCGTCCGGGCCACGGCCCACGCACGTGGTCGAATATATGATGTAAGTCCCAGGGCCACATACAACGATCGAAGCCATTTGCGAATGCTGGGCTGCTTACCGTTTGGTATGTAGTGTTGTTTTTGTGGCAGTCACACGTCAGCGCGCTTCCCGGCGTGCTGGTCCATGGCGCTGGTTCCAGCTGTGTAGCGGCTCCCCATAAAGCACCTTGAAATGGGAAAGGCCAGCAGGAACAGAGGGCGCTGCCGCTTTCTACTTTCGAAAACTGCGTCTTGCGGTTTTTCGCTTGTGACTTTATCTGAAAAGGAAGTCGTCACGGCCGTTACATCCAATCGACCACAATCAAATCATCCTCAACTCGTGGCTGCCACGCGACCGGCGAATGGGCCCGGTATCCGCTCGGGAGCCGGCCAGACGACCGTCACGGCCTGGGGGACATCGAGTGCAACGAATGACCGACGTCTTGCATTCCTGGACACTGCATAATCATACATCACCAGCCAGTTACCTATATTAAGATGTATTACTACCCAAACATTTATCTGAATCGCACCATGTGCATTATCATGCTTAGCATTTTGTCATGTATTCCTCGGAGTAAAGATCACGTTGAGCACACTGGAGATAATGTTCATGAAGCGTTTAAGGGACGGGTTCCGCTGCCGTCCCCTGGCGGCTCCTGTCCCACGCACCTCCCTAATGAAGCTGACCGGCTGTGGCGGACGGATTGAAGGCTGGAAATACCTCCGAAGAAAGGCTGCTTTGCCAGACGAGCCCCAGCTGCGCACGAGGGTGGAGCCGGTCCGGCCCTGGCGTCAGAGGGGTGGATTGAAGCGCCATAAATAGAGAGGGTGCGGCGGGCCGGCGGGCGGCTGCCGCCAGCAGGAGACGCCCGTATCCGGTATGTCACACGGTGCGAGGAGAAGGGGGGGCGACGCACCGCCCCTGGGGTCACGGCCACCGCCGGGGGCGGTCGATTCACAGAGCCGACCCTATCACACGGACGCTGCAGAAGTCACGTGTTAATGGCCGTGGCAGCGTCACAGGCTTAGTGGGACCCACGCGGTCGATGCTTTGTCGATCGGTGCTGCCGCGAGATTCTCTTCGATTTGGGCTTACGTCGCGCATTGGCTGGTGGAGTCCCAGTCATCCAGACTTCAAGGCTGAAGCCTAAGTCATTCGGATGCCGCTTTTCTAGGCTTCCTGGGGTACTGAGATTGCATAGGAACAGAGAACCATTGTCACATTTCCAAGGTCTCTGTCCTGGATGCCAAACATCTCTCCACCTTCGACTTTTGCCTGGAATCAGAACTTAACAGCCGCAAAAGCACCGCAAACGTCGTCTGGGCCGTTTGCAGTCGCCAGCAAAGCGGCGCAATCTAACCGAGTCTCGTGTTTGGGCTCCGCTGTAACCTTGTCTATCTCAGCCGCGCCGGAAAGCCAAAAAACGGCGGCAGCGATAGCATCTCAACGAAGGAAACCCTGCAGCCGCCGTGCGACCTGCAGCCGTGTGAACAGCCTGGAACATGACGTCTCTGCACTAGATCGGAACGATTGCTCGAGACAGTCCTGGCGTCAGTGTGCCGGGTGTGGGTGTGCCGGGGACCCCGCCCCCCCCCCCCTTCCTATATCGCCGCCGTTGGAAGACTGCGAGGCGGGCGGCGTGTGTCACGCGGTCTCTCGCAGGCGCGTGGTGACGTCACACAGAGCGGCAAAGGCCCAAACCAGCTTTGAAGCCAGCTCTTTCCGTGACGCCAGTCGTCATGAAAAACGGCGGCCTTCCCTGTGTCTTGGCTCACGGCCGCCCACGCAAGTTCACTCCCTTCGAGGGTCGCCACGTGCATACGTGCGGCGCAGCGCATGGCCACCTGCGCCGCGAATATTTCCGCTCGCCAGGAAAGCGCCGGACGTCTAACGGGCGGGAGCGGCGACCTGGGCCGACCCTTCCGCTGCGGCGCCGGCGGTGACAACATCTTGACGCCGCCCGCGCTGCGGACAATGGGCGCCGGCCTTATCTGGCAGCCCGGCGGCCTGGTCTGACACGACCGAGCGTCGCGCGCGGCCCGGCCGCCCCGCCAACCGCACTGAGCGGCCGGCCCTGCACCTGCACCAGGTCACGCGATAGGCGTCGGCCCGCTACGGCCCGCCGGCGCCGGATTTCCGTCCGAAGTTGAATGAAATTTGGCGTCTTGAGCGGCGCAAGATCCGCGTGTCCGTGTGTCTCAGAGCCCAGTTTTCGCTTGCGTCTGGCCCGTAGCACAGAGTGTCACGACCCCTGGCTGAGAAACGATGCGCCGCAGCCGACCGGCTTAGTACGTCCTGGTCTTAGATCGTAGTCTCGACGTCAGCTGGCGGATTGATTTACTTGCATGCCACGGCTTCATACATGGTTCGTATCGGTGCATTCCGCGGGGTTTGGACCGCATCCCAATCTGACGCGCCTCTCCGTTCACAGGTGGATAACATGGCGTACGTGCACCCAACCGAGTGGTCGGACGACCGGCTGACGCTGTACCCGCAGCTGACCTCGACCCCGCTGAGCAGAGCCGAACCCCAGACGCCGTACCCGGCGGCGCCGGGCGGCGCGGCGGCGCCCCCTGGCGGCCGCTCCCAGTACCCCCTGCCCTCGGACGCCGTGCCGACCGGCCGCGGCACGCTGCGCGCCTCCGCGCTGCACGTGCAGGGCCTCGGGGGCCAGCGGCCACCACCCGAGCACGTGTACCAGTATCCGACGCACGGCCGGCCGCGAGAGCGTAGCCTCGACCACGGCAACGTGTTTCGAGGCGCGCGCGGCCCGGCCGCCACCCCGCGCTCGTCGATCGCCACGCCCGCCTCGGCCGCATCGGCCGGCACCGGCAGCGCCGACGCCAGCTGCGAGTCCAGCTACATCTCCAACGACAGCTTCGAGGCGCGGCCGGCGCCGGCGGCGCCGCTGGTCGGCAAACGCGGCATCCCGTCCATCTCGAGCGGCATCCCCACCATGGGCACGTCGACGATGCACGGCCGGTACCTGCCGCCGGGCGGCGGCGGCTCGCTCGGCCCGGCCGCGGGTCGGTACCTGCCGCCGGCCGCGCTCGGCGCCCACTACATCCCCGGCGTGCACGGCGCCGAGAAGCTGCCGCACGCCGGCTGCGGCAAGGAGGTGGCCTTCCGGCTGAAGCAGAGTCCGATGGCGGCGGTGTGGAGGAAGCTGCAGGACCAGGGCGGGGGCCGGCGCCGCTCCGGCCTGCTGCTCTGCCTGCTGCTCTTCTGCATCGGGCTGCTTATCGGCGCCGTCAGCGTGGTACTCTACCTGACAGGTGAGCCGTCAGCGTGGTACTCTACCTGACAGGTGAGCCGTCAGCGTGGTACTCTACCTGACAGGTGAGCGGTGAGCCGTCAGCGTGGTACTCTATCTGACAGGTGAGCCGTCAGTGTGGTACTCTACCTGACAGGTGAGCGGTGAGCCGTCAGCGTGGTACTCTACCTGACAGGTGAGCCGTCAGCGTGGTACTCTACCTGACAGGTGAGCCGTCAGCGTGGTACTCTACCTGACAGGTGAGCCGTCAGTGTGGTACTCTACCTGACAGGTGAGCCGTCAGCGTGGTACTCTACCTGACAGGTGAGCGGAAGTGTGGTGCTCTGTCTGTCACATGATGAGAAGTGTGTGATGCCTCACGTGACAGGAGCGGCGAAGTGCATGGCGCCGCGCTCAGCGGGCGATTCGTGGTTCAGCTCTGCTGGGCAGGTGATGCGTTGCGTTACTCTAGCTGGTAGGTGAGTCAGCGGGCCGTTCAGACGGGTGACTCAGTAAGACGGCCATGGTGGGAAAAGATTATTGAAAACCGCAATGCACCTGGAAAAAGCACGCTTTGTCGGCACCCACTTCGGCCACTTTCTTTGTTGTCCACGCCTGCGGTTTGGCACTAGCGACCGGGCCGTACAGCGCCTTCGTCGGCATTCGTGCGCCACCGGCCCCGGCTCGCGGCACTGCGGCGCGTGGCACGGCTACCCACCGCCGCGCCAGCCGCCGGTAGCGCCGCCGGCAGCGCCGCCGGCCTTACTGGCAGCGTTTTATCGCCGCGTGATGCACGGGCAGGACGCGTGTGCGCTGGCGGCGAGGAACTGCAGCGGAACTACTCGCCGACCGAGCACGCCGCCACGCGCCGGTGCCTTCCGCACTGGACCGGACCGGACCGGACCGAACCGAACCGAACCGAACCGGACCGGACCGGACCGGACCGGACCGGACCGGACCGGACCGGACCGGACCGGCGGCTGTCGGTCGAGGACAGTCGGGTCGCTGGTGGGGAGGGTACCGGCGCCGGGCGAGCGCCTGGGAAAGGTGGGGGTCTGGTGGTGACGGGGGAGGGTGGGAAGGCGCTGCGGATGGCCCCCTGCGGCCGAGGTCGTGCTGGGTGCGGCTCTGGCGGTGCCGAAGCTGTCGGCGGCGGGGACTGATACGATCTGGGCCCTGGCGGTCCGGCCGTGGGAGGCGCCACCGACGGCTCGTGGGGGCGCGGCACAGGTGCCGACCAAACTTATGGGGCAGTTTGTAATGAGTTATCTGGGACCGGCGTGCTGCGGTCATGTAAAAATGTGATCAGTCACTCACGATATCGTCGATCGCTTTCAGCCCGTGCAGGCACTGGTGAGGTACAGCTGTTGCTAGTCAGGCTCATGCAGTGTAAACTGGTTATAGGAATTCGCGTGCCTATATTGGCCTGGATACAGGCCGACAGTGTTACAACACATGAGTGGGCAGCGTTCACAGGCTAAATCGGCGCCATTTGTGGCAGAGTTTCATCCCTCGGCCGGACGCGTGATATACGGGCGCATGAATCGTGACTTGGGTAGACCTCGCCGGGACGTTTTTGCAAGCTCGTGGTTGAGAAGTGCCACCGGGACAAATGTTTGAAGCTGCATGAGTGCGTGAATATAACCCTTCCTTTGAGACCTGGCAGCACTTGATTCGTCGTTTTGTGCTACCTAAAGGCGCCAACATATTGAAGATGTTAGCTGTGACTTCACCTAATGTAGGCAGCGTTAGCCCACAATTCACTGAGTTGCGAACCGCTGATGCCACTCATTTAGCGGGTAGATACACAGCTGCTGATCTCATGCGTGACACTGTCCTCCCCTGAGTGACACTGTCCTCCCCTGAGTGACACTGTCCTCCCCTGAGTGACACTGTCCTCCCCTGAGTGACACTGTCCTCCTCTGAGTGACACTGTCCTCCTCTGAGTGACACTGTCGTCACTGCTCCGCCGAGAGCCTCGGAATATAAGCGTACAGTAGTCAACTATCGCGACGAGACCAGCACTCGTGCTTGGCGGCTTGAACAGCTTTCAAGGTTTTAATTATACGCTCATTGGCAACGTTGTATTTGAAGATGGCGCTTGCATTTAGCCAATAAAAGGACTTGAAGTCCTCATAGAAAAAGATGGTAGCAGTAACCTTATTCCTCGAAAAAAAACAAAAGGATGGAGATGTAGATGGGTTGAGATGGGTTATACCCATCCATATCTCCATTATTCTGTTTTCCGAATTATAAGGCTAGTTTTACCGTCTTGTCTATGTGGATGATCTTATAATGTTCCTCGTAAATGCACTTAACAGATGACGTAGACTTGAAATTCTCAATAACGCGGATGCCGAAACATTGCGGACAAATCATTTCTTGCGCGTGTCGCAACGCCAGCAGTGTGCGTCAAAGATAGCGGGAAGTGAGCCGGCTGGTTCTCGGAAGCCGGTGTATACCTCAACACCGGCCATTCAGTTTGACGACCTAGCTATAGCGGGCCAGTTCTCAGCAAGCGCAACTCACAACAACGAGGCGGCGAACTGTGTCCGAGTATTGGGTAGAACAACTGAAGGCTATTGAACGGGGCAGAACCTGGTGCACTGTCAGTAAGGGGATCAATAAATCGAACCAATTAATCGCCGAGTATTTGAAAGGAATGGCGCTATTGTCTCACAATGTCATATATATATATATATATATATATATATATATATATATATATATATGGACAAGTCTCCCTCACTTCACGATGTGCAATGTAAATCTTGTGTTCTTAAAAATCCTTTGGCTGTCACATCTTCGACGCTGACATGACAGCAGTCGACTGTTCTTTGTTTTCTTAAAAGGTTCTTTCTACATGCTATTTGAAAGTACCGCTATAACCCATTGGAATTAAAATGGCCATGGCGCAAAATGGACCAACACATTAAACTATAGACGGACATGTGCCTAGAGTTCAACGGTGGATCTAGGATCCCATAGGATAGCATGTTTATGGGATCCTGAGATCTTTCGAGTGACTCCAGGCACTTGTCTCGTCATGGGTATATCATGATGATCGATTTAATAATCAAGTCTTTTGGCAATTGACCACATTTTTCGGCAATTTACGGAAGAACCCTACCTTTACAAATACACTCGTAAGCCGAAGTGTTTTTTACTTTTTCTCTGTTTGTCATGCTACAATTCCAACTCAAGATGAAAGACAAGCATGTCGAACGTCACGGGTGACTTGAATGGCTCGCAAAATTACCATTGTATTTGCATATGTTTTATTTGGCTGTCTGATGTGCCAACTACAATGGCATACAACCGACTAAAAGGGCCGAAAAGCCCCATTATTTGTATGCTGCCATTACTGCAATGAAACATGGGAACGCAAGCTTTCCAGGCGCTATGGATCGTTGATTTAATCGTCATAATTATGGCGTGTTTCAATCTCGTGATTGTGCATGACGCCTATAAATCACGTATGGCAACAGCAGGGGAGGGGGGGGGGAGGCGCAGTAGAGCACAACCGATTCAGGGTGGTTGCTCTGCCTGTAGGAAGCCCCGACCGAGCGCTTTGCGGCCACTGAGGTCTCCGGTCCGCTCCCACCGGCCCGGCTGTACTGGGGCGGTGTCGGAGCGGTGCGTGCCCCGACAGAGTGGCCGGCCGCTGTGGCTCCGCGTGCCCCCCCCCCCCTCCCCCTCTCCTCCCCCTCTCCAACCCGCACCGCGGCCGTCACGGGGACAGGGCTGCGGCTGACGCTGCGTCGAGCCCGTCAAAACCGCGCCAGACCGAAATAGACCACGCGCGCCCGCGCCCGACGGCCGCCCCCGCCGTGTCCGCGGCTCGGTGCCCGCCGCGCTGAATAACGCGTTCGTAAACAGAACCGAGCCCTTTATTGAATGCTAACGACCCCATAATGGATGGCGAGCGGCTCGGAATGCGCTTCGCGCTCCACTCGGTAATCGCATGCGATCGGTGCTTACCCGAGTTACGCCGCGACTCCGCGTGATTCTCTGCCGCGTTGGCATGGTAACACGCCAGCGGGGATGCGCTGAATGTCGGCAGCAGTTGACGACGCGTCGCCCCTGGATGTCGTGCGGCATACCAGAGCCGGTAAGCCGCGCGGATCTTCCAGTTAGACCGGTACGCCGCCGTGGGGACGGCTGGTTTCCGAGCGCATGGCCCGATTTCCGACAGGTGATGGGCAGGAGCGGTCGTTTGTCAGAGCGGTCAGGAGCCGTTTTGAGGCTGGTGCACGGCCGCTTTTGCGATCTTAAGGTAAAACCGGATGCGGCAAGCTGCGCGCGAGCGGCACGTGGTCCAGACACGGGTGGAGAGATCACTGAGGGAAATCTTACCGAAGCCACCCCTCGGAGGTCTTTCATCGCGAGCCGGCTCTCCTGCGGCAGTCATCCGGGAGTACGTCAGGAAGACGAACGCGATGGAGCGGGCGCCCGGGAGCGGTGCCTCGCTGGGTGACGGCTGCGGCAGGCGTCACCGCCGCTCAGTGCCGCCCGGTGCCGTCCTGCCCCGAGACAAAGCCGCGCTCGGCCGTCAGCCCGACTCTCCCGGTCCGACAAAAACGCGTCCAGTTCTGCATGGCCGCCCACTGCGGACACCAGATTACAGGGCACGCGACGCGCCCGGCGCCCGTGCCGGCGCGGGCCGTGATGGAGTCGGACGGACGTGACGGCGCGGCCGCACCGGCTGCCCGCTGTCCAGCTCGGACGCCGTGGTCAGAGGGACCTGCGGGGAGACTCGGTCCGGGTGCTGGGTGTCATGTGCACTCGAGATCAGCTGAGCTAAGCCGTGGGGTGGGGGGCTGCGCAGCAAGGAAGGAAACAGGGCGCGGGTTGGCTGGTCATTAGCACATGTGGTATTAATCGAAATGGGCGTGGAATCACCTTGATGACCAGTTCGTTCTTAAAGCTCGTTCGTTCCAGTGTAAATAACGTCCTCATTCATATGATGATGGTAAGGAAAATCCCAGATACTGTAAATGAAATAATGATCCGAACAAAGTGCCCAAGTGCTTTGTCCTGCTGCAGCCATCGAAAGGTAACGCAGAGCAGTGAATCAACGCCGTTTCTTCACGTCTAGGACTTTAAACTCTCCTTGCGATGTGTTCTGTATCGAGTGTGCCATCTAACTCAGTACAGCGTCGTCCATTCCATGCAAACTGCTTGCCGCGCATAGAGCGTTGGCGGAGTGGTTTGCCCGCTACACCTTGCCATGCCTGGCCGTGCCGTGCCGTGCTGTGCCGTGCCGTGCGTGCCGTGCCGTGCCGCGCCGCGTCGCTCTGCCCTGATCGGCTCGTCTAACTGTTGCAGTGGCGCCGGACATCCGGCGAGGCGGCGCCGTTCCGGCCGACGACCAGACCGGTACGTCCCCCCCCCCGCCGCCGCCCCTGACGCCCCGGCGCGAGGCAGGTGCGGGCCGGGCTCGGCTGGGTGCGATAATTCGCCCTGTCCTGTTTGCCCGGCGCCATTCAGCCGAGAGAGCCCACGCTTTCCCCGACACGCTGTGTTCCGTGACGTTCATTGGCACTGGAGAGAGATATCACGATACTAACGGCAGGCGGAGGTGTCGCAACGCCGCCCATCAACCGAGCAGGCACCGGTCTCCTGTCGGCCCGCGACAGCGCTCATCAAAAGCGCTGTCGCAGGGTCACCAAGGGTCCTGCGGAACGACTACATCTGGAGGTGACAGAAAAACACCAACTGAAACACCTGGCAAATAACTATCGCTGATGGCTGTGTCATTTGCACGCTATTCTTCGCTGTCTGGCTCGCTGAATGATTCATGTAGGGCAGCACACTTATGGATGATGATAACAGGAACTTAACAACAGTCGACACTGACCTACGACGTTAACAATGCCAATAACATGAACAACAGTCTACACTGACCTACGACTTAAATGATGCCAATAACATCAACAACAGTCGACACTGACCTTCAACTTTTCAGGCAGTTTCCTCGTTATCAGTTGCTCTCCTTATCTGGATTTATTCCGGCTTGTCAACACCCCGCTGTGGCTGCCGTTGCAGCTGAGCGGCAAACACTGTTGCCAGCACGCGGCCATTAGCGCCTCTCGTAACGAGCCGAGGACGGCCGACGTGTCACTGTCACACACCTGGCCCGGACGGGGACAGTCGGTCCGCCACGCTCTGTGCCAGTGTGTCTGTGTGCCGGTGGGGCTCGGCCGGCCGGCAGCCGGACGCTCCCGCCGGACGCACCGGACGCCGGCCGGGGCTGGGGCCGGGGCCGGGGCCGGGCGGAAGCGCGGCTCTCCTGAGCTCTGAGAGCGCCAGGCGACGGCGTCGTCTCCTGCCACGGCGTGGAGGTCATCTCACTGGATATCAGAAAAAGGGTGACGGACACGGCGGTGCGTAGTTCGTCAAGCTGATGACTGTTAATGCCTGCAGTTTTGGCGGTCTCGGCTCAGTGAGACGTGACTGTGATATCGCTTCTATTGGCACGACCGCGACGGAGTCGTGAGGCCTTCACCAGTTACCCTGGCCGTGTGGGAATGAGCCAAATCTTCTGCACGTCCGTGCGGGTGTCACGGATATCTCGGAAATGTCACGGCTATCCGATTAAACTGGTAGTGACCAATGATCGCTCACAACTACAGACCCGAAATAGAGCTTATCGGCTTCCCTAATGCTTGCGATATTCAAGGATTGACGTGCTGAGATTGACATCTGTTATGCCGTCCTATCTTCTCCAATGCGGCGGACATCACATTTTCTATGAAAACTTGAGCTGTCATGAGTTGGTTGGGATGGATCTCTGCCCTGAGGCCTGCATCTTAGCCAATAGCTTTTCGTCTTTGTCCTTGTGACATCTTGACTTCGCATAGGGTTCTGAATTACGGCGCCGGTAATGCCCCACGGAATCTGACTTCCAATGGCTTCCACACTTTGACGCCCGCTGTCTCGTCGGCGGTCTGGCCAGACCATGCAGACGACTCTATCCGTCCCCCGCCTCCGTCCGCGACCGCGGCAAGCTCGTGACTCCAGCACGGCTTTTTCCGAGTCGGCCGGTGGACCGTGACTCGACGGCGGTCGCCCGTGACTCGGACATGCTGGGCCGTGACTCGCGGTGCCGGCCGTCGTCCGGTGAGAGATGCCCGATGCGCACGGACCGTCGCTAATGCGGCACACATCCTGTGTTTGGCTGACGGTCGGCTGATCGCGGAGCGGCACCGCCGACGACCGGCTGATCGCGGAGCGGTACCGCCGACGGCCGGTTGATCGCGGAGCGGCACCACTGACGGTTGGCTGATTGCGGAGCGGCACCGCCGACGACCGGCTGATCGCGGAGCGGCACCGCCGACGGTCGGCTGATCGCGGAGCGGCACCGCCTACGGTTGGCTGATCGCGGAGCGGCACCGCCGCCACAGGTCCGGCCGGCGAGGTGCCCGTTCCCCTCTGGCGGCGGCCTTAGTCGGGCCGCCTCCCTCCGACCGCAGCGCGCCCGGCCGGCGCCAGCCAGCCGCGCCGCCACGGGCACCGGGCCGACGGCACTGCCTCCCCCCCCCCCGTCGATTTTGTCGCTTGAGCGAGGCCATGCGGATGCGGCTGACTGGCACTCTGGTACTGTGATTGGCACTCTGATTGGTACTCTGCAATGCGAGCATGTCGAGCCGAATACGTGGGGTTGAAACGAGGGAGCGCCGTCATAAATCAGTTTCCAGATGAGGACGACTTTTGCGAGTCGTCCACAGTCGGCGTCCACACGCTCAGTCACCAAGAACGCCACGACACGAGTTGAGTGGGAAAAAATCCGAGATCGATTAGAAAGCGTTTTAGAGCGTTTCAAATGTTGTACAGAAATACCGGCCTTCGTATAATTAAAAAATATTGCCCAGTTTAGACTGCTGAACCGCCCGGTGGGCGTGTTTCCTTCTGCATCTCTGGAGCCGTGACTGTGGTTCATGCCCAGCCGGTCGCCTCGGTGTACGCCGTGGGCTGCTGACACATGACACGATTCAGGTGAAGCGCGCTTGGGAGGGATCCCGGTGCGTCAGCCCGACGTGCTGCTTTGTGGAGACGGTAAGTGAATGGTACTGCAGAAATCCAGCGTTTCGAACCGACCTCGGGCCGCTCGCACGTCATGAATGTGGTTAAATTTTCCAGAGCCGTTATGAGCAGCAAAGTCAGTAGCTATCCAAATCCTGATCAGGTCCGTGGAAGGACCGTTACCATGCACTGTGCCACGGTGCCAGTCGTGCAAGGCATTCAGAGTTCAAACGATAACAGGAGGAGAGGTAATGTCTGAGTTGAAAGAGACCGACCAGAATGCCAAAGCACTTGCGCGAAAGCCAATACACAACGACTAAAGAATTGTATAGAGGCGCAGGGAGAGTTGCACAAATTTTATCATCGGACTTCATTATTGAAGGTGATGCGTAACAACTGACTACCCCGCGAGGATTTGAGTTTTTCGCTGCAATCGGCATTCAAGGCTGTGATGAGAATGGCAATAAAACGGCCAATAAGATGGAGAATAGAACATTTAAAGCTACCCATGCTCATTAGCAGACTATTGAGGTATGACTATTAAGAGCCATTCGACACGCGGGATAAGCCCCACCACGGAAAGTGACACCTGGATCAGATGGCCGGAAGTGTGTGTTTGGAACCGCATACTACGGCGCCCCTCTCCCCTTTCGTCACCCGACATCGGCCACCCCTCTGAGGGGGCGGCCTGGCCGGGTCCAGGACTGATCGGACAGCTGTCGGCTGGCCAGGTGCCAGTGGTCGGGGTGCTGTGACCAGCTGCCGCGACCCCCGAGACGCGCTGGGACCGGTCAGTGACACGCGGCGGCCCTCCCCTCTGCTGGTCTGGAGGCCGCGTGCTCACCAGCTGGCGCCGCTCTAGGCTTGCTTTACTGTCGTCAGCGGCCGGTGGAAGGAGCCAGGCTGGCCGGCCGGCCGGGAATGCGGGGGGGGGGGGGGGGCAGCAGGCCCGGCACAGCTCGCCCTCAGTCCCGCCTCCCCGGCAGGGAGTGCGGGGTGGGGAGCAGCAGGCTCGGCACAGCTCGCCCTCAGTCCCGCCCTCCCCGGCAGGGAGTGCGGGGGGAGCAGCAGGCTCAGCACAGCTCATCCTCGGCCCCGCCCTCCCCGGCAGGGAGTGTGGGGAGGGGGAGCAGCAGGCTCGGCACAGCTCGCCCTCAGCCCCGCCCTCCCCGGCAGGGAGTGCGGGGGGGGGAGCAGTAGGCTCGGCACAGCTCGCCCTCAGCCCCGCCCTCCCCGGCAGGGAGTGCGGGGAGAGCAGCAGGCTCGGCACAGCTCGCCCTCAGTCCCGCCCTCCTCGGCAGGGAGGGCGGGGGGAGCAGCAGGCTCGGCACAGCTCGTCCTCAGCCCCGCTCTCCCCGGCAGTTGATCGGCTCGTAGGGCAGCGACCGGCGGTGGCAGACGGCTATCCGACTTCCTGTCCCGGTGCAGTGAGGCCTAAACCAGGAGTCATCACCACGCTCCGTGACGCGTTGTCATGACAACCGCCGCCAACAAAGCGCAGCCAGCGAAACCCACCGGTCGCACTCGGGCGACTTCTGAGCCAGCTCTCCGACCGCAGGGTCGTTGCATTTGAATACATTTTATAAAAAGGGCGCGCAGTTGCTCATGTTCCGTGAAGGCGAAGCTGACGCTGCACTCCTTCACGCCAAGTGCACATGTAATCCGGCTTTGGTGGCTGCCGTTCCCTGGTGCACTTCCTCTGCATCGACTTGTCCAAAATGGGAGCTCTGCTTTGATGTGTTAGGCTGAGGTAGCTTGCGGAGCAAGGCGCTGTAGACCAGAAAATGTAAATTTGAACTGTCTGCAACTTCCATACTGATGATCGTGTAACGTAGAAATCAAAGCTTAAGGCGCGCATTGTCGTGCAAAGAACAGTGGTGGCCTCGAGCGGCCAGCTCAGCGGCTCGCTTCGACCGACTGCTCGGGTCAATAATGAATTCCAAGCAAAGCTAGCGTTTGTGTGCGCCGTGCGTGGGTTGCAGGCGCATGCATAGAGCTACTGCGGCGTCGCCTCGCGGCCACCTCGCCTGGTTCAGGGGGCGAGGCGGAGCAGGGCGCCGACCAGCCGCGGGCCTCAGACCTGGCAGCCAGGACCCGCCTGCCGGCCGTCGAGTGCGGTCGCTCACCGCTGTGCTCCTGCATGTGCCGCAGGCGCCGAGGCCGGGGACATGATGACGTTCCAGGGCGAGTTCACCGTCACCAACCGACCGTTCAAAGCGAGCTACAGCGACCCGTCGTCGGTCGGGTACCGCCGGCTCGCCAGCAAGCTGGAGGAGGAGGTGAGGCTGCGCACATCTCACCTGATGGGGGGGGGGTCAGTGGTCTGGGGACGCAGCGAGCGGTGCCTCCATCGAACGCTTGGGTAGATTGACGCAGATTCCTTTGGTCTCTTCGCGCACAGGGTGGTTTCCTTTCAAAGCTCTTAGCTCTTTCAAAGTGAAGTTATTTAGTTGAAGTGAAACTGCGTCAACGTCACGTTTTTTTCCGACTTCCCGCCCTACAACAGCCAGCTCAGCCACGCAGCGTGCGTGCGGTCCGCCCCTCATCTCGCTGCTTCCTGCCGCAGCTGGACGCGCTGTTCCGCGCCTCCAACCTGTCCAGCGCCTACAACGCGTCGACAGTGCTGGCGTTGCGGCCGTCGTCGCCGGCGGCTGGCGCGCCGCTGTCCGGCGGACCCACGGACAACGTCACCAAGGTGGAAGTGCTGGTGCGCTTGAAGCGGCCCAGCCCGGACGGCGTCGTCACCATCGGCACCACCTTCATCGAGGGTATGGGCAACGCTCACCGGCGCATGTGGCTCGGCCGCTTCAACGTCAAGCTCGACGACATCTCGTTCTCCGGTGAGAGCAGCCGGGGTCTGTAGAGAGGCTTGGGGTCTGCTGGCTGAAGTGGGCTGACTGACAAGAAAGTATGGGGGAGGGGGAGGGGGGCAGATGGGTGTTACTTGTGTGCATTTGCTGTGACCTGCATCTGCGTGTTCTACACCTCGAATGTTCAGAAAAACTGGTCTTAACACTTTAGATCGTTGGTAAGGCGACCACCGCACTACGGTCACCCTGATTGCGTGTGGTCTCACCACTACGAATCAACAGCACCTTACAAGTCACATAGTCATTAGTTCAGCTTTTTGCAAACCAGCTAAGTGAATTCGCGAACTAGGCTTGGACTCGAGGTACCTGAATATGGCTCTGAACAGGAACAAACAGAGCTGAAGAAGCTTCGGTTGCACGCGGCAGGTTTTCGCAGTCCTGTAGCCGCGAACGAATACCGCAGACATTACTTTTTGACGATGTGTCGCGTGCTACCTGGAATATCGAGCCAGACTCTGCTGCCAAGAATCGTACCATCTTCCGAAAACATTTTTAACTAGCCCAGTGTTGATGTGAACGTGTCGGGGTATACACGGCTGCACGAAATGGCAACGAAGTTCCGGGAACTCGGCAACGAAAACAGGCCGCTTTGAGCCGGCTGTTTTTAGTCGTAAGTCTCAGGCGCAATTTCAAGAAAACAACAGATCTGCCAGTGTAAGATAGTGCTGTAATTACCAACGAAATCAGTCCCATGCGGATCCGGTCCCCGCCAAAAGCTCAGTCCAGACGCAGTCGTGCGCTTTATCGTCTCCGGTCCGCTGTGGGTGCACCGGAGGTCGTCAGAGGCGGGACAGGGCAAGGTTCTTCGACCCCACGCGAGCGTGCTTTCCTGGAAGCTGGTGTGTGGTCACTGGTCAAAGCTTCGGGTAGGGTTCATTGAGTCCGACGTGGTGACACATGCACGGATTGAGCGCATGGCGGCAAACGAACGAACAGCGCAGCCTTCGCCGTAACAGAGTGCCCAGACAGAAGAGCATGCGTCATAGACCGGTCTGTGTGTGACAGGTCGGTCTGCGCCCCCGCCCTCCCCCGGCACGTCAAGGTCACAGCCGGACCCTAGCCCCCAGTGGTGCAGGGCTGGTACGGTACACACACACCGGTCACGAACGTCAGGAATGTGCCCGCGTGACGTTCGTAGATCGATACAGCGGGCCCGCTGATGCCTGGGCCCCGCCTGATGCGGTGGCTCCGGTGTGCCGCTTGAGACGCTGGATGGGCATGTGTCACCGGGGATCAGGCGCGGCATGGTGACGTCATTGCCAACTGTCACAAGCCCGGCGTACGTCAGGTGAAGACGAGAGTCACTTGCTGCTGAACAATAGAGCGACAGTCGTGGAACGGGCAGGTCACCTACAAGGGCGATAAAGCTGAGTCCTGCGGGACGGGACGAGCTGAGGGCGTTGCGTGGATTACAGTGGCCCTCAGGTTAGCTGGGTACGGACGTGTCGATGATACAGTCCATAGATACCGACTTCTTTCGTGATGGGAGCGGAATTACCCTAACTCAACAGCCAGTTTCGTGCGCTTGGTCAACAAAATGAGAGCGTACGGGTTTTACCCAATATGTCCCTGATGCACTCCTCGAGCTTTAAACGCACACGCGTCAAATGCTTGGACGTACCTTTTTACGGGGGGGGGGGGGGGGGGAGGGTGCGGAAATCGGGACTGCAAAGGTCACCGACCGTCTAATCACGCGTCGGCAGGGGGATTAATTGCCAACGGACAAGCAGGAACCCCGGTCGATACTGCCACCAGCTGTGCTTGTGTGTGTGTGTGGTGGGGGGGAGGGGGGGGGACTTGCCAGACTGTGCATACTCCCGCGCCCTCTGCAACGTCACAGCCGGGAGAACGATGGCTGATCCTGGGTAACTGGACGTGCGGGATTTGAATGCTGATGCTGATGGTGAAGAGGAATCAATCACCATTGCACCAAAGGTTCTTGGGGACAATATTGTTTAATTGTTTCCCGTATTATTCACTACTGCATGTGTTCGTCTCAGCTATCACGAATTCAGCAAGCGCCCACTCCGTTGTATGACGTCAGAAACGGGCCCATTACGACCCTGAACACCGTTTCTCGTGACATTCAGCTCATCCCACGTCACCGCGCCAGCGCTACAGATCGTCCCGGAATATGTCGTCCGCCGGCCGGTGAGGGCCGGGCGGCTGACCGCCCAACCTTTGCTCCCCTTCCCTCTGCAGCTCGCTGACGAGCACTTGTGGCCTGCAGTGTCGCGCACGACGCTGCCGCCGCCGCCGCCGTCGACCACGCCGCCGCTGCCGATCGACGTGCGCTGGGGTTCCTGGGAGGACTGGTCACCCTGCGTGCCCTGCAACGTCAACTACACTCAGACCCGCCAGCGCAAGTGCCTGCTGAACAACGGCTCGGGCGTGCTGCTCGACCCGGGCAACATCTGGCCGTGCCTGCGGCTCAATCAGGGCGCCGACATGGAGCACCGCGACTGCGTGTGTCCGGACAGCGCAGCGCAGAAGCCGCCGCCGCCGCCGCCGCCGCAGCCCGCCACCACCCCGCCGCCGCCGCAGCAGCCGCCGCCACCGCCGCCGCCGCAGCCCAACCGTACGTGTCACTGTTCGGTCGTGGCCGGTTAAATCGACGCGCACTGAGTGATCTTGTACAGGCGTTCCTGTGGAGGCGGGCGGGTGCACGCTCACGGTCTGTTCAGAATGACGTGTCTGCTAGGTTGGGTTCCGCTGTCTGCCAGACACACCTTACCGCGGCGCTTTGGCTGGTGACGTCCGTGTGCGATGGAAGCGGAACACTTCCGAACCCATCAATCATCCCAAACATCGGTTCGCGTACATGAAGTGTTTTTTTTTAGGGGAGATTGCTGGGATCATCGGAGAAGAGTGAAGTGTCTATGTGTCAAAAGGCTTGCGATTACAGCGCCACCTTTTCCAGAAAACCGTCTGACCACCAAAGGAAGCCACCATGAGTCCTAACGGCTGACTTAGACGTTGTAACCGTCCGAAGCCTTCAATGCGCTTCACTGCCAAGGACAATGTTGAGCGGTATCCAATGCGCATAAACTTGTCATCGACAGTCAAATACAACATGTTGTCATTGCGCACGGTAACCGGCTGTGCTCTTATGATTGCGCGTGCTCCATCCTGTCCGGTCCGATCCGGCTGTGCTCTCTGAACGGCGCGTTCTCCATCCTGTCCGGTCCGATCGGTGCCGGTCGGCTCTGCGGCGGCGGGCGCAGTCCGACACGCGCTGGCCTCTGCCGGCAGGCTTCTGCGACCGCTGCGTGGAGGGTGAGGTGTGTGTACAGCTGAGTGGCCAGGCGGTGCCCGAGTGCCAGACGCCGGCGGACGCCGACGACCCGCTCGGCTGCGGCGGCCTCTGCAAGCTCGACGTCGAGCGGTGTCACCAGATCTCGGACCGCGCCTATCAGTACGTGGAGGATTGGAGGCCGCCATGGAGACCGCTGGCACTGCGGTCCTCTGCGGTCGTCTGCTGTGGCGCTCGGCCCCCTCCCGCGGTGGCAGCCAATGGTCAAGGGCAATGCAAACCATGCCACTCTTGGCGTGTCGTGTCGCGCATGTCGTGCGATGTGCAGGCAATCCCATCCTAACTCAGATGCCGATTTTTTTCCTTTTCATGCGGAACATTTTCCTAGGCCGAATGTAAAATAATGAGATGTCACTTACGTGCGCGCCGGGCTAACGGTGCGCCCTCTCTTGCAGGTGCCTGGACGATTCCCTGTGCCAGAGCGATGAGTTCCGCTGTCTGTACGGCACGTGTCTGAAGAACCACATGCGCTGCGATGGTCGTGCGAACTGCTCCGACTGGGACCTCTCGGACGAGCTCGACTGTGGTGAGTTTCATGCCGTCCCCAACTGCTCCGACTGGAACCTCTCGGACGAGCTCGACTGTGGTGAGTCTCATGCCGTCCCCAACTGCTCCGACTGGGACCTCTCGGACGAGCTCGACTGTGGTGAGTCTCATGCCGTCCCCAACTGTTCCGACTGGGACCTCTCGAACGAGTTCGACTGTGGTGAGTCTCATGCCGTCCCCAACATTTTTTGCGTCATGTTCATTGTTCTAAGGTACCTGTGTGACCTCCAGTACTTACATTTATTAGTCATTCTCACACTTGAGGTGCAATGCACTTTACCAGCTCTGCTGACATCCTCATGCTCTCTTATGATTAGTTTGTGTGATTCGGCTCGGGCTGAACAGGCTCAGCACCGATGGAGCCAACTCCAGATTTTATGAGAACATTAACTAAGAGACGCATGTATCACGTGCAGCACGACCATATGTTAATAGTCACCGCCATCCAATGCCTTCCGTGCTGGCTCCGTAACGGCCTAAACTGAGCCCAACTGATCCCGGCACGTGCCCAGTGCTCGCCGCGCTTCAACTTCACAACGAGCAGCGCACCCGGTCGTCCTGGACGTCCTGCTCCCGCACCACCCCAGACTGCTGCCGTGTCGGTGACGGTCGTGTAAGGAGCGGGGTGTCTGTTCCAGAGTGCGACCGGCCAGACCACTTCCAGTGCGGGAACCAGACGTCCTGTCTCCCCATCTCGCTGCGCTGCGATGGCGTGCCGGACTGCTGGGACGGCTTCGACGAGGTCGGATGCGAGTCCTGTGAGTGCCGACCGCTGACTGGGCGCCGCTCTTCACCGCTCTCTGTGTCGGCTTGGAGGGACGCGGGCCTGGAGTAGGACTGGTCGTGCTCTCCTTTTGACATCTGCTCAATGGGTCGGTGGCTTACTGGCCGCAAACAGTCTTTCTTGCTTGATCACATCTTTTCTGATTCCACGATTTGTCATTTGGCAACTAGGGGAAGGTGAAAAGAGTATTGCGTTTTGATGATGGAAAGGAGACCGCGAGCTTACCTCTTTTCTTCAGAAGCCCGATCCAACAGTGGGTAGGGCGTGTTGCTTGTGGGTACATGGTGTGGCTGCGGGTACAGGGCGTCCGTGAATCTTCGGCTGTGGAATACTTTCAACATGTGTATGAAATGGTGACGGGGTGCCTTCCAACATCCTTTGGGTTTGTGTACACATTGAATGGTTTCCGGCTATGTTCGAGTTCATTTTGTTGAAATGTGCTGTGGCTGGTTTAAGCCTATACAATACCTTATCCTTCATCAGGCTGATATCCTTTTCTGCGACGAACAGTTGACGGAATATGGTTTACTGAGGATTTAACTAGCGGGGATCCTTTAATTGCCGTACTTATTGCCGTTGTACCACAGCAACGAACGTCCCCAATTTCATGCAGGACCCGAGGAGCGATTTTACATATCAGGATCCAAGTGCATAAAGCTTTTTGCTCGCTTGTCATTTGTAAAAGATGATTTCTGTAGCACCATCGCCGCCCGTTTCCACTGCCAGGTGCTCCCATGTCTTGACGAGCTCCTGGGCTGACGTTCCCTCTATCTTTGACCGCTCCTCTTCGCGTTCGTCTCTCCTGATGGCCCCAGCGTGAGCTATCCTCAGCTGACGTGGGCGTCTTTGCCCAAGTGGCTTGTCTCACTCCCCCTATCACAGCCAGCTCGCTCTGGCATTGTCCCGGTCCCACCGGGTGACGGGCGTGCGCGCCGCCTCGAACGAGCTCGGGTACACGAGTGGGCTTTGCGGTCCCCACAGCGTGCCCCGACCAGTTCCGGTGCGCGAGCGGCCAGTGTCTGGCGCGCGGCCTGGTCTGTGACGCGTTCCCCGACTGTGAGGACTCGTCAGATGAGTTCGCCGGCTGCCGGCCGCCATGTGGCCCCGATCAGTTTGTCTGCAGGTACGGCGCGCGCCCCGGCACGGCCTGTACGCCTCGCCACCCCACTGCCGACCTGGCCAGGCACGACCCTCACCCGACAGCACCTCTGGCCGCCTGACCTGAGCCACCCGCATGGCATGGCTCCCCCACCTGCACCCGTGAACTGAGTCTTCACGCGCCTGTTGTGTTGGCACGCCACTGCTGCTCGAAGGGGGTCTGATATCGCGTGACCCACCACACCGCTTCGCCCCTCCACCGGCACGAGACCCTTCTAGATCTCTTCGAGAGAGCTGTCAGCCAGAGGCTCCCCAATAAATGTGTCCCGTCGACTCATAACTCGTCACGTCCGTCGACTCATAACTCGTCACGTCCGTCCTGTGACGGTCCGACATCGCCCACTTCCATCGGACCCTGCACCGTTGAGCGAGCTTGTCCGCCCGCTGATGTAGAATCGCAGTCTCTCACCGTCCTCTGTAGCACGTAGCCTTTGCATGACTGTCAGCTAAGGAAATGATAACAATTGTGCCCCGGAATACTTATGGGCGGGGAGCAAGTTGACGCGACAAAAGCAGTACTTGACCGAAAAAAAATCTTGTTTTTCTATATCGGTATTATTTTACTGACGAGCCTGCATCGTGTTGTGCGCTGCAAGATGTCAAAGCACAGAATCAAATCGCATAGCAATGCCCCGTGCGCATGGTCGTGTCCCGCTTATTTCAGACATCACGTCACTATCGTAACTTCAGTGGTCAGACCCTGTCACCCTGAGTCGCCAGCGTGACTGCCCGATCCCAGCCTGCCCATGACCAACGCCTTCACGCCGGCAGGACCGGGAACTGCGTGGATAGGGCGGCGGCTTGCGACGGCGTCGACGACTGCGGTGACGACAGCGACGAGCTGGACTGCCGGCGGGACGCGTCTCCAGGCAGCGAGAGCGCCGGCCGCGGTCGCCGGAGCACGTCCGAAGCTCCTCCACTGCAGGGAACCTCGGGTGCTACAGCTTCCGGCGAGCGAGCGGCCGGTCTACCCGCCGGGGCAGACGGGTCGACTGGCGCGGAGGGAGCGGTGACGACGCAGGGGACCGCCGGCTCGACAGTGACGGAAGAGTCAAGCCGTTCGTCAGGGGCAAGGGAGATCAGCAGTTCTCCGAGGAAGCACAATACCAACACTTCAACAGGGACAGACGAGTCGAGCACGTTGCCGAAGACGCAGGAGACCAGAAGTTCGACAGGAATGAATGGATTGGTCGGACGCTCAGGACCTCGGCTTAACATGTCTTCGGAGGGGCAGTCCAAAACAGCGCCTGGATGGGAGCAGCCTATCACACCCTCGCTGCACGAAAGCAACACAAGCCCAGCAGATCGCGCTGAGTTCAGACCAGTAGAACTGCCCGGCCCACCGTCGGTGGAGACGACCGAGCGACCTCCTGGGGACCAACGGTCAGACACGTCTGGAGTCCAAAGTCCCACGAGTTCTGCTGTCTTGAGTGGATTGCCAGCGGCTAGTGAGACTGGGATGGGTGCTGCCGAGCCTGTTACCACGCTCAGCGGGGCGGCTACGAGCCCCGTGACCGTGACCACCGAGTTACACACGCGAGCCGCAGGATCGTTCATCCCTCTCATCGGATCACCCACCTCATCGGCCAGGTCGTCCCCCGCATCCGTCCCCCGATCTCCCGTCACGTCCACTGGATCCTCTGTCGAGGTCACACGGTCAGCCGCGAAGTCTTTCGAAGCCACTGCGACAGAGGCAGAACTAGACACCTCGACCCCGAGGGTCGTGTTGAGTCCAACTCCGGAAAAACCCTCCAACATGATCACAAGTGGTACGACGGCACCCCTTAGTCCAGGCCTTCCAGGCGTGACGCATTCTTGGTCCCCATCTGCGACAGGTGTAATGTCAACGGCGCCAGTAGTGACAACCTCGCCGTTAACTTCAAGACCGCACGTGTCTCTAGCCACGACGACGCCAGCGACGACCTCAACAGATACAACTGTGAACATTTCAACGGCCACTACTGCTACCACTACGACAAAGGCGACCACACTCACGGCCACAACAAAGGCGACCACACCCACGACCACGACAAAGCCGACCTCACCCACGACCACGACAAAGCCTAACGCACCCACAACCGCGACAGGGCCGACCACACCCATAACCACGACAAAGCCGACCACACCCACGACCACGACAAAGCCGACCGCATCCACGACCACGACAAAGCCTAACGCACCCACGACCACGACAGGGCCGACCACACCCATAACCACGACAAAGCCGACCACACCTACGACCACGACAAAGCCGACCACACCCACGACCACGACAAAGCCGACCACACCTACGACCACGACAAAGCCGACCACACCCACGACCACGACAAAGCCGACCACACCCACGACCACGACAAAGACGACCAAGAAGACCTCGACAACCACTACCACGTCAACCACCACGACAACCACGAAGAGGAGTCGTATTATCGCCATTGCAGTTTGGGGAAGGTGAGGGCTACGTTTTCGGAGCAGGCGCCCTCAGGCCAGAGTTCTCGGCGAGAACGCTGCTCTTCACAGTGTCAGTGGATGTCCATTAACCGCGGGGTGTTGTCAGAAAGCATACTAGTCAAATCAAAGAGGCGAATCTGGAGCCGACAGCTAGGATTGCGTCGCAGCCAGGTGTCGATTAGTGGCTGGGCAGAATAACTATTCGCGTGCTGCATACTGCAAATATCATGGTTTCGATTGTCGGTGAAAGGGTGAACGATGAACCAAAGAATGTGCCCTTGCCAGCGATAAGTTAACTATTGTGTGGGCTAGACTGTAGCCTTGGCACTGTGTTTTGCCTAGTCATATCAGCGTACGAGTGGTGGAGCTTCCGGGGCCCTTTTCTCCCCCACACAACACAACACCGCTTACCCGACCTTCACTGCTGTGAGGTGGAGGCATCGGGCAAGAAGCGCGTCTTTTGGCACTGGTGTAAAGCAGAAATGTGTAACATTATTCTGATAGTGTTCACCACTGTATGTTGCGTGTGTTTTATGCGGTATGATGAGCGATTGTAGCGATTGCACGCGAAGGTGTATATATGAAAATCTTTATGATGATAAATATGCTATACATTATTTATTTAAGGTTGTTTATTTGGTGTTGCTGGATGGGCTAGATGAAATCATAAAACTGGCATGCGCTGTCGCAGATTCAGATGTGAAAACACCGGCATCCATGATCGCAATGGAGCATGAGCAAACATTCGGAGAAGAACTGATGGAAGGAGTTAAGCAGGGTCGCGCTCACAGGCTAAATATGCAGCTGAAGGACCAAAACCACTCCAGGAAACGTGTGGAGCTTTGCAATTTGTTCAATTGCTACAAACAATACGAAGAATCGGTGTAATGGCAAGCTGCTTTCAGAATGGGCCACGCACACAGTACTGCTGAGTATTGCGGCCCGGACATTCACTGGCCACGCACACAGCACTGCTGAGTATTGCGACCTGGACATTCACTGGCTACGCACACAGTACTGCTGAGTATTGCGACCCGGACATTCACTGGCCACGCACACAGTACTGCTGAGTATTGCGACCCGGACATTCACTGGCCACGCACACAGTACTGCTGAGCATTCCGACCCGGACATTCACTGGCCACGCACACAGTACTGCTGAGTATTGCGACCCGGACATACACTGGCCACGCACACAGTACTGCTGAGTATTGCGACCCGGACATTCACTGGTTACGCACACAGTACTGCTGAGCATTCCGGCCCGGGCACTCACTGGCCACGCACACAGTACTGCTGAGTATTGCGACCCGGACATTCACTGGCCACGCACACAGCACTGCTGAGCATTCCGACCCGGACATTCACTGGCTACGCACACAGTACTGCTGAGTATTGCGACCCGGACATACACTGGCCACGCACACAGTACTGCTGAGTATTGCGACCCGGACATTCACTGGTTACGCACACAGTACTGCTGAGCATTCCGGCCCGGGCACTCACTGGCCACGCACACAGTACTGCTGAGTATTGCGACCCGGACATTCACTGGCCACGCACACAGCACTGCTGAGCATTCCGACCCGGACATTCACTGGCTACGCACACAGTACTGCTGAGTATTGCGACCCGGACATACACTGGCCACGCACACAGTACTGCTGAGTATTGCGACCCGGACATTCACTGGTTACGCACACAGTACTGCTGAGCATTCCGGCCCGGGCACTCACTGGCCACGCACACAGTACTGCTGAGTATTGCGACCCGGACATTCACTGGCTACGCACACAGTACTGCTGAGTATTGCGACCCGGACATTCACTGGCTACGCACACAGTACTGCTGAGCATTCCGGCCCGGGCACTCACTGGCCACGCACACAGTACTGCTGAGTATTGCGACCCGGACATTCACTGGCTACGCACACAGTACTGCTGAGTATTGCGACCCGGACATTCACTGGCTACGCACACAGTACTGCTGATTATTGCGACCCGGACACTCACTGGCTACGCACACAGTACTGCTGAGCATTCCGACCCGGACATTCACTGGCTACGCACACAGTACTGCTGAGCATTCCGGCCCGGGCACTCACTGGCTACGCACACAGTACTGCTGAGCATTCCGACCCGGACATTCACTGGCTACGCACACAGTACTGCTGAGCATTCCGACCCGGACATTCACTGGCTACGCACACAGTACTGCTGAGCATTCCGGCCCGGGCATACACTGGCCACGCACACAGTACTGCTGAGCATTCCGACCCGGACATTCACTGGCTACGCACGTCAGTCCATGACCTTTGCCGTGACTCGGATGTATACAGTCGTCAGCAGCGAATGCCAGCAAGCTGTATGATCTTTCGATGCATTCGTACCTTGGTACTCCAAATCGTAAACACTGCTTTTGGTTCCCTTCTGCATGTGCCGAACGAAAATGTTCATTGATCTGCAGCAAAGATGTTCATTTTAATTGCTCTTGGGTCACCTGACAAAAAGTCGGTGGCAATCGTTAAACAGGGAACATGTATTTTAGGTCATGGCAGTTCACGACACCAATCACAGAGAGGATTGCAAAACAACCCTCACATGGACACCGCCAAACTTTGCAGCAGATGGCGGGTCAACACCGGGAGGGTGACGGGCCCGCAACCACATAACACTCTCAAATTTGTACAATTTATATAGAAATTACGGTAGCTAGCAAACATTGGGGCGCATTGCCGTTCCGTGACCGGAACTTATCATAAAGAAAAGTGGTTTTCAACCATATTATGGTTGACCTGCTATAGATCAACGACCTATGGCAGGTCATAGTCAGGCCATGGTTGCAGCGAATGCAATTTCTTGGGAATCGTTCGATCTGATCCAATGACGAAGTGAAAAAAATCCAAGATCCAAAAAAAATCCAAGATCCAAGACGAGTGCTCGACGAAGCCATACATCTCCGAGGTGCTTTCCTAGGCAACATAGCAATTGACTGAACAAATTCTGTTGACCTAGGGCCAGGTATGAGGGTAAGACCAATGTCAAAACCAACCTGTTTTATTACTCTAGGGCTCGCTGTATGGTGTAGTTTCTGGTGCTCATTTCAAAGCTATTGAGAACAGGAGCCGCATTATACATCTTCATTGGACTTCTTTAACACGCGTCCGGATGGCCGGCTGGATACCCCTCGTTCGGGCGAGGATTCAATTTGATCCCCGACTTCCCTGAGATCTCGGGAACTAAGAAAGCTAGGGACACCAAATTTACAGGGTTTGATGACCTGTACGTAAAATCATTCGTAAAATCATTTAGGTCAAAGTTTGAGGTTCCTAGGTCATAACCTCCGGGTCAAAGGAGGTCAAACAAGGTGAGATTCCAGGTTTGTCTCCAAAGTGCCCCCAGAACCTAG